TGTAATTGTGAATAAATCAAACGATTCAATGGTGCAGATATATCTAAATTCCACGAAAAAACACTTGTAATACGAAAAATAACTTTACCTACAGTTGATAAAATACACGAAAACATGAAATTATCTCGAGTGTTTAAAAAACATTTAAAAATAAATATTACGTAGTCTTAACGTTTCACAAAAAAAACGGTTACAACATTCTGTTCAATCAAATAATTTTGATTTGATTTAAATATTTACACTGGTGATTGCTTGAACAGATCTTTTGCAAAATAGAGCCAATAAATCTCTGCCTGTCTGTCCATTTGTTGTTTTTCTTTAATGGTAGTGGAATCAGTGGTAGTCAGAATGAAGTCTTATATAGTAGGTCATGAAAATCTAGTGAGTTTGTTGGTATTCGATACAGAAGAATAATAATTCCCTGAACTTTTTTCGTTAGGTCATGTTTTATTAAATTAAAGGTTAAAAAATGTGCCAGAATAATAAACATTATTGGCGATACTTTCAGTTTTCAGTAGCAATGACCAAGTCAACGGTATCCATTTCTTAGAAAGCATAAAACTTTACGCTATTTAAAACAGTTATTCGGCTTTTTGTAAGTGTTTATTGCATATGTAAGGTACAAACACTAAAATTTCACTTAAACATTGTTTTTAGATGAATGGGGGTTCAACATACGACTATTGTCGCATGCCACATGTAGCGTCTCATTTTTAATTCTCAATCATCAGTTCGTTCTGCTCGCCCACTCTTCTTAGAAATGGAAATTTCGACTTTTGTGAACAGCCTATTTCCATATCTTCCGACTTCTTTTTTCACTTTTCTAAGATTACTAAAAGGGTTGGTAAAAGACACCAACCTTGCTCTAGTGCTTTGATGGGTTTAGCTCTTCTGAAACATTTTTCCGGCCTTAAATTGAATGATTTACCTATATAGCTATTACTAATGCTTACGTAAGTGCTGTTTATTTGCTTTTACTAAGTACTTCCAAACGATTATTAATAAGAACGTTACTATACGCCTTCTCTAGGACCATGAAGAGTTACAAAAAAAAAATGAAAATGCTTAAAATTTGGTGCAAAGCAACAACGTGGATGATCTAACTAAAATTATACTTATTTTGTTGTACGTCAGGTAGTTTTTCACATACTACCTTGGTGAATTTAGAACGAAAGACGCATAAAAATATCACTCCCCGACAAGCTACAATTCACTCGATTTCCATTATTTCGTTATGAAAATCTGTCATTTTCAAATTCAGATTCTGAATCAGATTCACCTAGCGACATAAAGAAAGGAGGTATAGATTCGTACGAAAGATTCCCCATATTTTTTTCGCAATCTGCCAAAATAAGTTTTTCACAATGTTTACAAAAATTTTGCCGCATGCTTGGAGTACATTTAGAAAACGCCTCAAGCCATAAATTCTCCACCCTATTTTTTAATGAAGGTTGAGAATTTATATGCTTATTGTAATAATTCTTACAAAATCCCCACGCCATTTCAATTGGATTATATTGACAATGGTACGGTGGTAATCTAAGAAATTCGTGGCCACTTTCGCTTAACATCTCGTCTACCAAATATCTGCTGTTTCTTCGAAAATTTTTTGCCAAATTCAACACTATGTTTATTCCTGCATTTCACATTGTTTACTAGAAAAAGTGGGTGGTTTATCCAACTGAACCGAATGATACCGTACCATTGTCTAAAACCACCACACATTTTTGGTTCAACTTTGCCAAAGCAGGAATGAGCTGATTAACCACCCAATTTTGAAAAATTGTCCCGTCCATCGTTTTATGATAGTCTATCGTTATTTTTTGAATTTAAAAAATTGTTACAACCATCCAAGAATCCCGTTGAACAACCCGCATGGAGAATAGTAGACCTTGATCCTTCAATTTTAATTTTGCTGGGATTGCTTTTTAGATCGGTATCGTCCACCCAGCGTCGAACGGACGAACCATTTTGATAGATCCATGTTCCATCCAAATACACGAAAGTCAAATTTTCACAAGAATTTGGAAACTGTAAATATGTTCTCAAAAAAGTAATTCTGGCTGCAACGACACGTTTTTGTTCACATAGAATTTTGCGACCATTTACTTCCCTGTGTTTATAACCCATCGACTTAAGAATTTTGTATAATGTGGTTCGCCCCCCTTTAAATTCCAACTGTTCCCTAGAATATACCAAAAGAGTATCTACAGTGAAATATTCGTTTTTTTCATTAAGTTGCCAAATTTGTCGTTGCAGGTCTTTCCGAAACATATAATTTGTAAATAAATCCGTTGGTTTTCGCTTACCAGATAGTGATGTTTTTAAATTTTGGTGCCCAGTTGATAAAATTTTCGCCACAGTTGATGTTCCCACCTATGAGAAAAAAAAAAAATTTTGCAACGTATTTTTACATTACAGAAAATATGTTCGAGACCCTCATAATTACTTTTTCGAAAGAAAGATCTTGTCTGTCTTTTCGAAACTGCAAAAAATATCTTTTTATTGCAATTTTTTGTTGCAGTAAAACTATTTTAGGCATTTTCTTTTTAAATAATGTCGCAATGGTCTGTGAATCTGTCACAATGACAAATTATCTATGCTGACAAAATTAAAACATTTGTTTGCTTGATTAAAAAATTGCGTCTAATAATTCTGATCTAATAAATGAAGTAGAAAAGTGGCAATCCAGCTCAAAGCAAATGTCAATCAGACTAGTGACAGAGAAAAAACTAAATCATCAAATCAGTTTATCCAACTTAAAGAACAAAAACAGGAGTATAGGGATCTCTGTCGTCATTGCCTACCCCGTAGTGATACCGGTGTGATGATAAATATAGAAACACTATAAACATCAAAGAATGGTTTATCTGTTATAAAATGTTATGTCGCTAAATTTACATAAGTACATATGTTTAGACAAGCTCTATAAAATAATGCCAATTCTGAATTTTTTATGCATTATGGAAATTAGAACATTCTGTGGAGTCAAATGGGTACTCGGTAAAAAAATATATACGGTGTTTTTATATTTGCTACATTATTATTATTAGAGAATTATACCACCTCATAAAAAGAGTTGATAATTTTGGAAAATTTACACTCGTCACTACTAATTACGTACTAAAATCATCATATGAAACCTTTAAGATTCTTAAATAGTAAAAACTTGCTCCACGTTCTTCAGACCTAGCTTCTTTACCCATGAAGATAGTTCTTTTAGTGGTACTCAGATAAAAATGTGGTGAAATGTAGAACAAGATCTTCCAAATGAAAATCTAACCTCCGATTAGTTCATTCGTTGGAATTAAGTATCTCATCTTCATCATTGCGACAACATATATTGACCCTAACTGAATCATGATGGACAAAACAAGTATTCGTAAGTCTGTACTACTAAATAGATTTGTGTCAAGATTAAAACGTGAACCTTGAATTGGTGATAAAATCTTTTGGGATCCTTTTATCTAATCTATGACTTAAGGATTTGTGAAAACAGTAATAGACTGAATAAGAAATGATATGGAAAATTTAACAAAAATTTATGTCCATATTTTATTCTTGGGTACCTATTCGTGATCCTCAACTGCGATACATCTTTACTCTATTTTTATGCACCCCTTGTAACCTACGATATATCCTTATATCTGTAGATATTAGGCGACTTAATTTCTACAACAATGAATGACGCTTTAAATAAAGAACCCATTTTCTTACCTCCTTCATTCCTTAATAATATTTACTTGATCTCTCACTTTATAATCCACGATTGCAGTTTTCCTATCATAATTTCTTTCTCTCTTATACTTCGCATTAAACAAAAACTAGCTCGAACGACGTGTACCGTGTTGTCGTATGAACAGTATTATTATTATAAGCAAAACACCAGAATGGTACCCAAGAGCTTCATGTATCAGGTTGTTTAGCTGTCTGTACTCTAAGACAACCCCCTAAACATTTGTGAGAATTTTCGAGAGCTCCAAGTGTATTCTGATGATATACGGACGCTAGAACGTAATTTTTTGACTTTTAAAATTTTACTAATTTCTTCTAAATCCAGAATACCGTACCGTACCACGAAGTTACTAATAAACGAGTCAGCTACAGTCACTGCCTCTTTGTTGGGAATGGGATAAGCTTCTATAAATTTACTTAATTCATATTGCAGCGTCAGAAAGTATCGATAACAGATCAAAATAAACGATGTAATCAAACCAAACGTTTTGGAGTACTCTTTATATCAACTTTGTCTTTCAGCTCGCATTCCTACTAACAAATTCTAAATAGTGCATTTAGGACTCTATAGGATCATTAAACCTTTATTCAATACCCTCACAAAGTCTAAATAAGAATATTGCTGTGTGATCTGGAGACCACACTTTCAGATATACAGAAATCTCCTGGAATCTGTGTTATGTAGATTTTTTTAATTTGTTTACTTTAAATTATATGGATGCTACCCTCCACGTGACTGTCAGTTCATCATCATCATTGAACTATATTTAAAAACTTATACAAGGTAAAGTTTTGTGTCTATCCTTACTTAATGAACTTAATTAATTTATTTTTGCTAACGACCAATCGAAGTATGAATTTAGTACATTTAAGCCATTTGTGTTTCTTCTTTTGTATGCCTACTGTTTTTTGAGTGTTTATTTTTGTCTCTGGTCGAAAACAAACCTCTTCATATTATGAGTGATACTAGATTTATTCCAAGTCTGGAACACGTGAACACTGAATGTCTGATAAAATCGCAACTGATTTTATCAGACATTCGTACAGAATTTGAGCCTTTGAAAAAGCTCCAGAACAACAAATTCGGAATGGAATTTGCAATTTGTAGTGATAAAATTTATTTAACACTTCAGTTTGAGATAAGTAATTGAAAATGTCACCTGATTTTAAAAATTTGTTTATCTTATCAAAAACAAATAACGAATTTATTACCGCCCATACCTATATAAAAGGACGTTTTTCGCTTACTTGTGTGAAAACAATTGTGTAGTTAAAAATCTGGCTGCTGTGAGTGACTTAAATGTGAAAAATGGAGAACACTGAGGTGAGTGTTTTTATTTATTTGTACATATAGGTGTACAGAAACCGAAAAACTTGGTTGCTAAGAGTGCAACAATTTTTATTTAAGTGCATTATTAAAATTCTAAATCAACGAAGACTATTTTTTTGTATAATGTTTTTTCTGTTTTCACTTTACTTATTTAAAGTACTACTAATATTCACAGTTCTCATCGGTCTGTTGTACAGAGTGAAAAGAACAACCTGGTTTTATAAATTTTATTCACCAAGTTAATTTTCACAAATTTAGGTATGTTTTTCTAAAACGTCAAACTTGTGTATGATATTTTCAACAATACGTCGAAGTCTTGAATCGTATTTTTTCTCGTTTTAATTTTATTGTTTAAGACACCATGACATTTAAGTTTGAAGAAGCCTCCCAGCCGGGAGCCGAAACGTAACAAGATCAGAATGTTTTAGTTAGTTTTCATTGACCTCAAAAAAACCCACAAGGTTTACTTTCGTTTTGATCAAGTTGTTTGACGATTAAATTAATTTAAACATGTATTTCAAATATTTATAAAATGATAAATATATATTTTAACGTGATATAAATAAGTTATCTAAAACGTTTCAAATAAAAAAAAAAAACAAAAGTAAATAAAGATTATTTTTAACGCCTTGTATAATAAACAATCATTTTTCCACATGCAATAAAAATTATTATAAATAAAATAATCGCAGAGACATTGTTAGGTATAAATTAAAATAGAAAAAAAATGCTATTACCCTGCATAACTTTTTTGATCATGCAAACCCAATAATTACGGAATAATTCTTTTTCAAAGCAGTTGTTCGTCTATTCCTTTCCAGATTTTTAAAAAACGGGCCGGAACAACCGACAAAGGCAGAGATTATGAGGATGTGGTTCTCGCCAATGTTGTACTAAGGCTATTAAACGACCCCAGAGTAAAAACGTTCCAGATCTCATCAAACGATGAAGATTTTGGGGCGTTTGATGATCTGGTCGTTAAGCTTGCGTCGGATAAGGAAAACGACATTCGGGTTAAAGCGGTGCAGTTAAAACACACCGAGAGGAAAGTACTCTCTCTAGAAAATTTGCTAACCGTAAAAGGAGACTTCAGTATTAAAAAATACTACAAAAGTTACACAGAAATTAAGAAGCAAATAGATGAACTGATTTTGTTCACAAACCGCCCGTTTAACCCTCCCGACAACGCAACCTTCCAACTTGAGGGCGAAGGATTTTACGTAAAGCTTATTAAAAGAGAAGTTAACTCAGACATTTCAGAAAATATTAGTCATGTTTATCAATTTGAAATAGTAGATGATGAATCGACAGTGGAGAATTTTAAAAAATATCAGGAATTTTTTCACAAGTTTTTTCTCTATACCGACCAAGAAAATTGTGATACTCTAAAAAAAATAACCGCTAACAAATTCAAAACAACATATTGTTCAGATGACGAAACATTCGGTAAATTTCTCAAAACAGTTGCTGAATGGAACGTCCAAGATGGGAAGAAAGAAAAGATAGATAAAGACTGGACGCAGCTGGTACTTGCGTTACATCTTCTGTGCACTCATACTGAGTCTCTATCTTTCGGTCCAGTTAATGAGAAAATGAAAACTTTTCGGGAAGCGATTTCCTTCTTTGATGTCACACTGATTGAGGACAATTCGGTCGAAACGGTTAAGCAACTGTGGGGTGATGTTGGAAAGGAAAAAAGTATTGACTTTAAGGAATTAAATAAAGTTAGAAGGAGATATCTACCTACTCTCGCACATATTAAAGCCAACGACATTGGCACCATAGATCCCAAAGCCTTTACTCAACTTTTGTGGGTAATGGACGAATGTCCATTAATTTTACGTGAATGGGAAAAAATAAAAAATATTATACAGCTGTGTCCCGACAAAAAATTCGTTTTGGTTGGCGGAACTAGAGATGAGGAATGGGTGAACAAGTATACCGTGTTCCAAAATCTGTCAGACTTGAGTTTGAAGCTTCGTAAAGATTTAATGCAAAATTTTACCATTTCGATTCAGGGAAAGGGCGAACTTGATCTTGTAACATCTTTTGGCAGCAATGAAGATATTTTCAAAAATGTTTCAACTGATACCCTCGTCGAAATGCTGAACGGTACATGCTGCATAGGAGGAACAAAAGAAACGCTAGCCCAACCTTATATAGAACGCTATATTTCGCGAAATGTCGTTGATAATACATATTTAGAAAAAGTTCACGAAAACACAATTATTATTCTAAATTCTGCCAATAATTTAGACAAAGTTAAAAGCAAACTCGATAAATGTGAATTAATTGACATTAATAACTTCTTACTGAAAAAAAATCAGAATGGCGAAAATCTAACAAATAATGACTTTAACGTTAATGAATCTAACTTTAATGACAAAAATTACGTAGGTAACAGAAAAAATAATAAGTTAGATTCTAATCTAAACGACAATAAATATAATTCTCGTTTTGATAAATCAAGTTTTGCCAACACAGTTTACATTGGTACTAGGCATTATAAAAATTCTGAACTTCAACAAATTTATAACGAGCAGAAAATAACAAAACAATTTCATTATTTTAAAATTTTGAATGACGGAAATTTGGAATGGCTTTTTAGCAAAGGTGATGTTAGTGATGTAGAGTCTTACAAATTGCCTGACGCATATCCTACCGAAGAAAATGACTTGTGGTCTTCTCGGTTAGATTATAACATCAATCTTATAATTGGAGAACCGGGAATGGGCAAAACCGAGTTAATGAAAAGCTTAAAAAATAAATGTTCTCGCGAGTATTGGACAGTGTTAATTAGTCCCAAGGATGTTAATTTATTTTTTCGCAATCCTGATTTCTCTAAAACGGAAAATTGTTCAGATTTATTTGTAAAATTCATTACCAATAAAAAATATGAGTCGCTCAACACACTAGATCTAATGTTTTTCGAGATGTGCTTAAAGAAAAACAACGTAATTTACGTGTGGGACGCACTCGATGAAATCCTTAATAAGAATTTAGATGCTGCTTTAAATATAATTCACGATCTTTCAACGAAAGGGTTCCGTCAGTGGGTTACAAGCAGACGACATTTAAAATCAACTCTAGAAAATAAATTCAATTTGTTGTCGCTTAGTATAAATCAGTTTAACGCACAAGAACAAGAAAAATATATCAGAAAACGTCTAGAACCTATTAATTCAAAACACAGTATTGACGTAACGCTGGAAAAAATTAACTCTTCTTTTGCAATTGTAGAACACATAGATATACTAGGTATCCCTCTGCAAATATTCATGCTTACTGAACTCTTTCGTCAAAATAGCGAAAAATATTTGAAACTAATGGACAACACATTCGTCTTGACTGACCTTTACGAATATTTTATTCAGGAAAAATTTTATAACTTTTACAAATACAAAATGGGATACGATTTAGAAAATCCTACATTGGAAGATGAAGTCTGTGAAAAAAAAAGAAAGGCTTCAGAGTGTTACGAAAGTGTGTCCTTTACAGTAATGTTTGACGAAGAAATTATGCAGCGACTAAATATTAATTACGAAAAATCCATAAAAAAACTTGTACGAAAGTATGCATCTGTGGGTCTTGTTAATGACTTTGAAAATAATGTTCCACGTTTTGTGCACAGTTCCTTCGCTGAATATCTAGTTGCTAGATACTTTTCAAAAAATATTAATAATTTTAAGGACACAATTGCGGACTTGTTGTTTGACGCAAGGTATAATCACGTTCGATTCTTTTTCGACATGTTGTTGGCTAAAAACTCAAAAGCTCACATAGACATATTGTATAAACGTTACGAGCTACTTAAATTGTACGACGACGAAATTTTAAATCGCAAAGATAAAGGGGGAAGAAGTGCTTTACACTTAATTTCGTCATGGGGGCAAAGACATCCGCGTGTGAAAGTAACACACGTAAAGAACAAGTGTATTGTGCACGAAAATAGCAATTTCGATAGAAAAGCGGAAACCAAAATATATTTTGAAACGATGACGTATTTGCAAAATACGAATGATGTTGGCGAACGTGATATGTTGTTAAATGCAACTCCTTTGTCGTATGCCCGAAAAAGTGAGAGCCTAGGAGCGCAAATACAATTACTGCAAACAAAAAAACATGAATTGAGACAATCTCCTGATGACATAATTAACGTTATATATTATTCTGCTTTACTGGGTTACGATGACTTGTGTAAACACTTCACAGTGGAAGAGTTGAATAATTTTTTGTGCGAGATGGAAATTGTTACCGCAGAAAATTATGAAACACCTCTGTGGCTGGCCTGTCAAAATGGTAATATAAAAATCGTTGAGTATTTTGTAAGATGTGGTGTCGACATCAATTGTGTTACTACATTCGGTGCAACACCACTTTACATAGCTTCTTTTAAGGGTCACGAAAAAGTTGTCGAATACTTGGCGACAGTCGGCGCCGAAATCAATTACGCTGATAAAAACGGAGTGACACCACTTTTCGTAGCTTCTGTAATGGATCACGAAAAAGTTGTCGAATACTTGGCGACAGTCGGCGCCGAAATCAATCGCGCTGATAATAACGGTTGGACACCACTTCACTCTGCTTCACTAAACGGTCACGAAAAAGTTGTCGAAAACTTGGCGACAGTCGGCGCCGAAATTAATCGCGCTACCAATGACGGTTGGACACCACTTTACGCTGCTTCACTAAACGGTCACGAAAAAGTTGTCGAATACTTGGCGACAGTCGGCGCCGAAATCAATCGCGCTGACAATGACGGTCGCACACCACTTATCACAGCTACTTTTAAGGGTCACGAAAAAGTTGTCGAATACTTGGCGACAGTCGGCGCCGAAATCAATCGCGCTAACAATGACGGTCGCACACCACTTTTCACAGCTTCTTTTACGGGTCACGAAAAAGTTGTCGAATACTTGGCGACAGTCGGCGCCGAAATTAATCGCGCTGACAATGACGGTTGGACACCACTTTTCGTAGCTTCTGTAATGGGTCACGAAAAAGTTGTCGAATACTTGGCGACAATCGACGCAGAAATCAATCGCGCTGATAAAGACGGTGCGACACCACTTTACATAGCTTCCCAAGAAGGTCACGAAAAAGTTGTCGAATACTTGGCGACAGTCGGCGCCGAAATCAATCGCGCTCAGAATGACGGTTGGACACCACTTCACATAGCTTCACAAAACGGTCACGAAAAAGTTGTCGAGTACTTGGCGACAGTCGGCGCCGAAATCAATCGTACTAATAAAACCGGTGCGACACCACTTTACGTAGCTTCACAAAACGGTCACGAAAAAGTTGTCGAATACTTGGCGACAGTCGGCGCCGAAATCAATTGCGCTGATAAAAACGGAGTAACACCACTTTACGTAGCTTCTCTAATGGGTCACGAAAAAGTTGTCGAATACTTGGCGACAGTCGGCGCCGAAATTAATCGCGCTAACAAAGACGGTTGTACAGCACTTCACGCTGCTTCACTAAACGGTCACGAAAAAGTTGTCGAATACTTGGCGACAGTCGGCGCCGAAATCAATCGCGCTGGTAATGACAGCTGGACACCACTTCACATAGCTTCACTAAACGGCCACGAAAAAGTTGTCGAATACTTGGCGACAGTCGGCGCCGAAATTAATCGCGCTAACAATCACGGTTGGACACCACTTTACGCTGCTTCACTAAACGGCCACGAAAAAGTTGTCGAATACTTGGCGACAGCCGGCGCCGAAATCAATCGTGCTAATAAAACCGGTGCGACACCACTTTATGTAGCTTCACAAAACGGTCACGAAAAAGTTGTCGAATACTTGGCGACAGTCGGCGCCGAAATCAATAGCGCTGATAAAAACGGAGTGACACCACTTTTCGTAGCTTCTGTAATGGGTCACGAAAAAGTTGTCGAATACTTGGCGACAGCCGGCGCCGAAATCAATCGCGCAGAGAATGACGGTGCAACACCACTTTACGTAGCTTCACAAAACGGTCACGAAAAAGTTGTCGAATACTTGGCGACAGTCGGCGCCGAAATTAATCGTGCTAACAATGACGGTCGCACATCACTTTTCATAGCTTCTTTTACGGGTCACGAAAAAGTTGTCGAATACTTGGCGACAGTCGGCGCCGAAATTAATCGTACTAACAATGACGGTTGGACACCACTTCACGCTGCTTCACGAAACGGTCACGAAAAAGTTGTCGAATACTTGGCGACAGTCGGCGCCGAAATTAATCGTGCTAACAATGACGGTCGCACACCACTTTTCACAGCTTCTTTTACGGGTCACGAAAAAGTTGTCGAATACTTGGCGACAGTCGGCGCCGAAATTAACCGTGCTAACAATGACGGTTGGACACCACTTCACGCTGCTTCACTAAACGGTCACGAAAAAGTTGTCGAATATTTGGCGACAGTCGGCGCCGAAATTAATCGCGCTAACAATGACGGTTGGACACCACTTCACGCTGCTTCACTCAACGGTCACGGAAAAGTAGTCGAATACTTGGCGACAGTCGGCACCGAAAAGTCTGTAAATGGTTATCGTATCCGGAAACAATAATGGGTGTATGTTTTATTTTGAAAGCAGATACCTACTAATGTCGTGAAAATTTTGACATCGTCAATTTGCAGCCAATATTTTGTCCGTCCTTAACACATAACACGCCGACAAGGTAAATTTGAAAATTATTAAACACTTTAGTTGTCAAAAGTAGTGTATGTAGAGTCGAAGTCCATACAAAATATTAATTAATTAACAGAATCCCATGCACTTGTAATATTAATTTCTAGTGGAAAAATATTTTAACATATCTGGCTAGAATTTGAACATGGCTTGAGACAGCTCGCCATACATCAGTATGCTTGGTTTTCCACAAAGAATAACCCCCATTGTAGTTAAAAATAGAAAACTAGGGAGCATAGCACCAATTTAAATATTTGCGACAAATCAAACGTATCTTATACCCGGACAAATGTATTCACTCATTCCAGTATCATTGATTATAAGTTGCGATGTTAACTGACAAATCAAGCGTAATACTGACAATCCTTCTATATCACTTCATCACGTTTGCTTAGTCCTCTGTCTCCAATAAAAAATTGTAATCGATTATCTGCAGCGTATGCATTATAATTGTTGATTTTAAACAAAAACATGGAAAAGTTATTAATGTCGCTTACAATCGCCAATAAAACAAAATTTTTGTAAAAAACATAAGTACATAACTATTGCGTTTGCTCTATTATTGAACAAGAAGAACTCCATGCATGGTACCGTTTAGTATTATCTACAAAGTAGCTGAATCGATTTGTAAGAAAATTGAAAAGAAGGAAATGACAATATCACAATTAAATAATGGAAATATTTTGAGGTAAATACGTTACATGTTGTGAAAGTAAAATAAGTTAAACTTTAATTTTGCAGGACTCTTTCTTTCAGAACATCCTAAATTACTGGTTGCCAATGAATAATTCAGCTTATTTATATAATCTACGTTAAGTATATTACGAAATCCAACACAATAATGCGAAATAACGAAGGTAACAAAATAAATCAAAAACTCCCACTATTCATAATTTGGTTTTAGCATTCTAACAAAGTTGGATGTGTTAATCGGAATTCTCGATAAAACTCTTACAAATTTTTATCAAAAGGGTAAGAACTGATGATTCTTTATTATGTGTGAGTAAAATCTGCCATTATTTTTGCTTAATGTTGTTGAACGTACTTTGTGCTCACATTTTCTAAATACTAATAGTAATAGTGGGTCTATTTTTGTATCATTTCATTATATATAGACTTTTTCAGTGACAGAGAAATTACCGGAAGATTGAAGTACTTAGCAGCCCTAGCAATAAGCGTACCAATTTTAAGCAGTCGGGGACATTTCTCAGAAAATTCATAAACATCCAGCTTAAAACAGGCATCATCTTTTGGGAGACCATCCTGCGAATTTCTGTTTCTATAAAAAATTCTGGCTTAAGAGAATTTTTTTTGTTCTAAGTGTCATGCATGTCCAAAAATGTAGTACGCCTTCTTTAATGTTACACAAAATTTATGACACGATCTTACGAAGGTATTTTAATCTCAGAGTCAACAAATGAAACACTCACGAGTAACTGAAATATTTTAGGAAACATGGTCTCAACGGAGTTGAACGATTTATTAAAAGAAAAATGAAATTTCAGCAACAGCTACACATGTTTTTTGATGTATTTTCGGACCGTGACAAATGCACAACGTAGTGTTTGGGGTTTGGTCTGGACAAATTTTCTGATGAAGAAGATCTACTGAAACCTAACGATGGCTTCCCAATGGAATCGTCTTCGAAAAGCATTAAAAATGTTAAGGATTTTTGAAACTGGCAGAGGTATAATTTTTATGTTCAAATAAAAAAAAATAACTATTTTACTCTTTATTATACAGCTGTTATTTCTATTAATAATAACTTGTAAAAACTTAAGTCTATTAATAATATATTTTTACAGGAATCGAAGAAAAACCTATACTCAAAACGCCCCATCAGTCGAATCCACAAGAAAGTCAAATATGTATACAAAAGTGTCCTACGTATATGTAAAAAATATATATCTTAACTTAGTGGTATACTTATGTTAAAAAGCATCTTCGAAAAATATCTGTGTTTAATATAGTTAGATATGTGCAATTTTTCTAATTTTAGTAACAACACTACTGCCATCTTTATTAAATTTGTTATAATTACACTCTTGTTTTATTTTACTCGATTATTAATGAATTATTGCAGATTAATTTACAAAACGGACCAAGTTTCGATTTTAACAATAAAAATGATGAATTGAGTACCTATATATACAACCCGACATGTTGTAATCTGATCTTTTACCGACATGAAAAAACTGTAAAAGTAATAAAGAATGTGGGAGTAGAAAATCATATTAAGTTTTATAAAAGAAGTATGAGTTGTAAGGTTGACTGTTTCAAAATTCGTTATTTTTGCTCTAGGGATAAAATTTACTCGGTAACTAAATCGTCCAAAAAGTCAAGTTTTGAACATCGTTTTTGGACAAAGATTGGTAACGAGTGTTCGGTTGAAAAATCACTTAGAGAAAACCTTGGTATTTCATTTGACACAACTGTTCTTATAACATCCATTTGGAGAAATATAACCTGTAACATGATATATGTTATAAGAACAGACATGACGTTTATGTGAAATGATATTCCAACACCTACTCTGAGTGATCTTTTAATTGAACACCCGTTACATAAAAAAATATCTCTTTTTATACACAGAATATACATTTTTACAAGTGACTGTTAAAAAACGAAATCATTTTGTTCTAACACCGAGACGGCAATGAAAACACGATCAAACACAACCATGAATTTTTGAAAGCGTGTGATTTTCTACTCAATCTTTCAAATTGACAAATCTTCAAAAATCCTGGCTGTCTTTGATTTTGCTTGTATTGCTCTCGCGGCATATTAGTTAAAAAAACAAACAAATTTATCAGCCTGTTTAGAAGTTAGGTATATCGATGAAACGAAAAAAATATCCGACGTCACCTAATACAGATATCTTGTCTCTAGGGTACATTTTTTGTAAATATGCAGCCAACCAAACAGGTACTTTTATCCACCCTATGCTTAGTGATGGACGTAATGAGAATTATCCTCTCAAACCCATAGTTAATCTTTTATTTATAGTATTTTTGCGTCCGTGTAAACATTGTGTTTTGAAATAGTATATGTATTAAAAAACCGAGTTCCATAAGGCAATTTAAATTTAAATTTAACATGGGAATCCCTATGGGCACTTTTAAAAAAGATGCATTCTATAATTTATTTTAAATTGAAACAAGCCTGGATTGTTAAATAACCTAAAATGGAATTAAGTTATAAATTAAGAAGATAAATATAGAAAGTGCTGTGGTGACCGAATTTGAATCAAAATTTCGCGCTGAATAAACAGCGTTTAGTTCTTTTCTGGTAGTTGGTAGCTGCCCTGCGGGAATTTCTGGTGAGAGGGTTGATAGAAGTGGATTTGGTGGATAAAGGGGTGGTGATGGTCACTTTTGTTTTGTCGTTGTGGTGAGTTAGCTAGGTTAAGTTTAGCTAATTCTTGCGTTTTTTTTTTTCAAGCGGACACATGCGAGTTTCCGACCGACGTTAACACGTGATGGAATGTTGATTCATTGTTTGTAAAGTCACAGTTCATGTTAGGATTTTAATCGTTAACTAGTTCTAACACAATTTAACTAAGATTAGCTTCTTTAAATAAACCACTTGCTAGAAGATTTCATGAAATTCACTTAGTCAGGACTTGTTCTTTCTTTATCACAGTAGGAATAAGTTTCTGGATGCTTATACTTAAGTGTTACGTTATAACGCTTCTTAATTCCTCACACAAGATTGGTAAGAGTTCATTGACGGCAGTTAAATTAACCTAACGTTGGCCACTTTGGGATAAGACCGTGAAAAGTGCGACAGAATTCATGATATCGTGGACTGAGGAACTGAGGGATTAAGTTTTACCTTTAGGCAGTTATTATCATCATATCAACATCACCGGGACCTATTTTCTCGTAACGTAAAAAGCTGTATCACCAACAACTTTCCTCGGGCAAAGGCCATACTTCTTCCTAAGATATAAAAGCAAAGAAAACTCTGCATTAAAGTAACTGGATGCAAATACACCAGTTATTGCGGACGTGTGGCAGGCAACGAGATAACGAAATTTTAATAAAATTCTATACAGTGACAACGGCACCAAAGCGCTATAAGAGTGTGGCGATCGAAATATTTCAAGTTCATTCTAGAGCACAGCAAAATTACTCATAGGGGGCGTTGTAGCATGAGCGGAGTTTGGGGTTCCTCGCCGTGGCTTTTCTCCTACCCACGACGGTGATTCTATTCTATCGCAAGCACTGCCGTCCAGCACCCCTCTATCACGAAGAGATGTGCCTGGAGGAGCATGCCGTTACGGTCGCAAACTCGTGGTTGGGTCTCGGCTATTAGAACAAGTCGACAGCGTCACGTCATCCCGACCGCCTCTGATTTCTATTCTAGGCCTGCATCCTTTGTGCAGATGGCGCGACCGCCAGCTCGACAAGGAACCGCGCACTCCGCTTCCGCCACGTGTCATTGTGTTATTTACCTCAATTCCATTTTAAATGTCCATTACTCAATGCATTCAATTGTTATTTTATACATTGGTTAGAGCAAAACTAGAATATTGTAGTGTAGTATGGAAACCTTACCATATAACATATATAGATCGATTACAGAATGTACTGAGAAAGTTTGCGAAGTATGTATATTTTAAGATGTTTGCTATATATCCTGTCAGACACTGTGATCAAAGTAGTTTACTTGACATTGTTGGTGAAAATTCTTTACTTAGTAGGAGGAATATGTCATGTTTGATATTTTTATAAAAAATTGTAACCGGACAAATTTATAGTCAAAAGGTTCTCAATGAAATTAAGCTTAATGTACCCAGGTTAGGCACCCGTATCCAGATAAAAAATATCAAAATATTGACATTTTCACAACTTTTGAGTAATTTCGGACGCTCGTCGTTCATCGTTGATGATGATGACTAAGATTCAAGGCGTAGTTTATTTGAACATAGCGATATTTTTTGTGTAATGTATGGGTTTATACTTAAAAACAAAACTTGTATTCATTTACTTGATTGAGAATGTTTTTATCCAGAAAACATTAACTATTAATTATTTATTGTTCGACAAATTTTCACAAAAACTAATACTTAATAGTGTTTACGAATTCTTATATGAAATCACTTTCTAAGTTCTTATTCAACTGAGGTTCATCATTTTATGAATTGCGTTGTTTAACGATACTCCAAAATAGTATATTAAAGAACGAGTTTCATAAGGCACGAATCCAAGTTTATAGAACGAGCGGCGAAGCCGCGAGTTATTTTAAGTACGAGTGCCACAATGGCCTTATGAACGAGTTATTTATTCTTTTTTTTTCTACCGCGCACGTTTTTTCGCAAAATTTAATTGAAATTTGCGTTTTTTTAAATCTGGGGAATTTTGTCGTGATCGGTGATGGGTTGATCTGACACGAACCCCGAATTATTTGAAGTTCGAATTTTCACAACAACAACTGTAATTCGAATCAATTCGAGTTAAAATTGGTTAAAATGTCTTGTGAAGAAGTTAGTGAAGTCCTTACGCCTCCCGAAATACGGGAAATTTTAATTTGGGATTTGCCACTGACATTCACCTGCCATTTCTCGTCATGGCTACCAATCTTACCGATCTAAATTACACCAAATCTATTTCAGAACCCCTTTCCGCTATTAACGAACTGCTATGACGTCATTTGGGTGCTCTAATAGCTCTATCAGAAAATAAAAAAACGTGCGCGGTAGAAAAATAGAATAAAGTTCTTTAAATTTAGGATCCACTTGAAGCATAGATATTTTCATATTTCCTTGACATTTCACAGCGCTTAGAACACGAAAAATTGGTCTACCGTTTACGTCTGTCTATCGTCTGTTGGCGATTTTATTAGGTAGTTAGGTACGCAATAACACTGCGAACTGCCTCCAGTACTACAGAAACCACACAATAAAAGTAAGTAAATTAAAACTCGACATAAAATTTAATAACGGACCCAAGAACGTAGACAAAGAAAAACTGGAAAAACTGGCAGTAGAAATAAATATAGCAATCAGAGATTTTACAGCGAGAAAAAGAACAAGAATAGAATGCACAGAGATATTTAGAAAAGAAAATGAAAAAACACCAATGAAGAACAGAGAAAAAATAAAAGTGGCCCGAACTTTTAAGAAGAAAATAAAAGAACAACTAGTAATAGGAAAAGCAGATAAAGGTAGCTCAATAGTGATAACGAAAAAGGAAGGATCTGAAGCTTGATACTCATTACGAAAATTTTCTTTGTACCATTCTTTTAAGTCCACCGATTGTGCATAATTTTCATTTTCTTAAAGCAGAATTGTCTGGAACTGAAAATTTTCAAGAGATGCCTTCAACATCAACAGCCATATTTGCACCTACAACTACAGTATTAGGGAAATGTGCTACTACTGTTCTCGAAAAAACTGTAACGCCAATAATTACAAAAATTGCCAAACTTTACGTTTAACTTTCATACCAATTAAAATAATTAATTGTTAACATTTTCAATGTATGATTATAGTTTGTAGTTAATAAATAGCTAAAATCAAATATTAACTTCTTTCACATTGAAATATTTTTAAGGTGTGGTCGTGGAAAAAGTATAGTACACAACTCGTGTGCAAACGCTCATTACGCGCTCGTTGAATTACCTATTTACCACACTCGTTATGTAATATACTATTAATAATATATGTATTTGGCTAGAATCTGAACATGGTCTGAGACAGCTCGCCATACCTCAGTATGCTTAGTTTTCCACAAAGTATAAGCCGTAAAACTTGGGAGCATCTTCTACCCGGACAAAGGTGTTCACTCATTTCCCAGTATCTTTGATTAAAGTTGCGACGTTATCTGACAAATAAAGCGTTATACCTACTTACTGAAAATTCTTCTACGTCACTTCATCACGTTTGCTGAGTCTTCTGGTCACGAGTCATTACAACATATACCGGAAATTGTAACTCCAATAAAAAATTGTAATCGATTATCACCTATAGGTATAGCGATAAATGTTAATTTTTGATTTTAAACAAAAACATGGAAAAGTTATTAATGTCGCTTACAATAACCAATGAAACAATTTTTTCGTAAAAAAACATAAGTACATAACAATTGTGTTTTCTCTATTATTGAACAAAAAGAACTCCATGCATGGTACCGTTTAGTTTTATCTACAAATTCACTGAATCGATTTGTAAGAAAATTGAAAAGAAGGAAATGACAATAACACAAATAAAAAATGGAAAAATTTTTAGGTAAATACGTTGCATGTTGTGAAAACAAAATGAATTAAAATTTAATTTTGCAGGACCCTTTCTACTAGAACATCCTAAATTACTGGTTGCAAAGAAATAATTCAACATATATGCGAAGGTAACAAAATAAATCAAAAATTTCCACTATTCATAATTTTGTTTTAGCATTCCAACCAAGTTGGATGCATCAGTCGGAATTCTCGATAAACCTCTTACAAATATCACAAGAATAAGAACTAATGATTCGATAAACTGACGTAAGAATTGTTATTCCATGAAGCAATGTCGAATACAGGACTAAAATTACCAAAATGGGACAACATTTTCGAGGATACTTTATTATGTGTGAGTAGAATCTGGCATTATTTTTGCTTAATATTGTTGAACGTACTTTGTGCTCACATTTTCCAAATACTAATAATAATAGTGGGTCTATTTTTGTATATTTTTATTATAAGTATATAAATTTTTTCAGTGACAGACAAATTATCGGAAATTGACATTTCTCAGAGAGCTTCCAGCTTAAATCATCGTCCTTAGCGCGCTGCGAATTTCTGTCTATAAAAAATTCTGGCTTAAGAACATTTTTTTGTTCTGAGTATCATATGCATGGAAAAGTATTCCAAAAATGGAATACGCCTTCTTGTATGTTCAACAAAATCTATGACACGATCTTACGAAGGTACTTTAATCTTAGAGTCAACAAATAAAATAGAGTAACTGATCAAATATTTCAGGAAACATTGTCTGAACGGAGTTCAACAATTTAACTATTTAAAAAAAAATGAAATTTCAGCAAGAGCTACAAATGTTTTTTTATGTATTTTTGGACCGTGACAAGTGCACAACGTAATGTTTGGGGCTTGGTCTGGACATCGCTTTCCAACGTTGTCGTCTTCGAAAAGCATGAAAAATATTAGGGATTTTTGGAAATTGGCAGAGGTATATTTTTTATGTTCAAATAAAAAAATAACTATTTTACTGTTGATTACACAACTGTACACTGTTGTAACACAAATTAATAATAATTTGTAAAAACTTAAGACTATTAATAATATATCTTTACAGTAATCGAAGGAAAACCTATAGTCAAAACACCCCATCAGTCTAATCCAGAAGAAAGTCAAATATGTAAACAAAAGTGTATGCATCTTAACTTAGTGGTATAATTATGTCAAAAAGTATCTTTGAAAAATATTTGTTTTTAATATAGTTAGTTACATATATGCAACTTTTCTAATTTTAATAACAACTGTATTGCCATGTTTATTAAATTTGTTATAATTCACTCTTATTTTATCTTGCTCGACTATTAATGAATTATTATTGCAGGTTAATTTACAAAACGGACCAAGTTTCGATCTTAACAACAAAAATGATGAATTGAGTACCTAATTATAACAAACCAATTGAGTTGACGATTAAAATTGTATTCAAGAATATGGCAGTCTCTTGCACACTTTAATAAACAGTTTAAGATCATCAGCAAAAATCAATTTTTCACACGTAATTTCATTAACAATGTCATTAATAAATGTTATAAATAATAAGAGTCCTAAATTGGACCCCTGTGGGAAAGATGGATGGATTTAGAGCGAAAATTGCGACATATATAACTTTTATTATTGATAATTGATATTATCGGAATAATGTGATCAAGAGATCTGAAAAACCATATTACCGCAACTTGTCGAGTAATATACATAGTGGTCAATTTTGTCAAATGCTTTACAAAAATCTCTATAAATTGTATCCACTTAGTCATGATTATCAATGGATTCAGAAACGAAGTGTGAAAGACATGTGAGGTTAGTTACAGTAGATCTTTTTTCAAAAAATCGATGTTGATAAGGAGTAATAAATTGTGAAAATGGGATGTGCTGTTTCTGATTTGAAGGGAAAAAAAATGGGACAGACATACGGAAACGGCAAACTCGGGAAGTAAAAATAGTTATGATGAGGTCGAATCCGCCATTGTCTTACTATAAAATGTTATGCAATTTAATTTTTGTTTTTTGTGAAAATGTGCTGGCACACGCAATCTCCAAAACTACTGGACCGATTGTTGTCAAACTTTGGATGTATATTAGAAATATCATGTAGAAGGTTAAATGCTATCCAAAATTTGGATATTCATCCCCACCAAGAATTTGATGACGTCATTTCAATGAATTATATTTTAAATGATTTGAATGTTACACGAAAATATGCAAGGTATAATAACGTTATATTACCAACACCGGACAGTGGTTATAAGTCGGAAACAAGGAGACGCTGTGACTACTTTTCTTTTGTGCTGTGACTAGTATTATCCATATTGATGACGTCATAACACATTTTATTATTATGGTCTAAACTCAAAGCTGTCATGTTTCTATAACTCTGTGTCTAGCTGTGACTACCATTTGATCGCTCTTACTGAGACTTGGATTCATCCAGGTGTTAGAGACTCAGAACTATTCGATAAGAATTTTATAGTGTATAAAGAAGATAGAGATTTTAAGAAAACTGACCTTTCCAGAAAAGCCGTAAAAGATTAATTTATCTCCATGAAAATTAATTTAGACCATTCTCTTTCTCATATTCTTCACTTGGTTGATGTCTTGGCTGTTAAAGTGTCAGTTGACTCAGTTATACTGTTACAATTTTTGTGGTTTACTTTCCGCCATCTCTCTAAATTGATTACTTTCGATCTGTTCTTGATAGTCAGTTGAATGGTTCATCAGGAAGCTTTAGTGATAATGTTACACTGACGGAGGTGAGTTCTGAACATGTTTTCAAAGTCATAAAAATAGTAAAAGAAATCATATTAAGGGACCAGATCATCTTCAACTTATGCATTCATTCTGGAATTTTTCCGAACATTTGGAAAATATCTAAAATTATTCCAATCCAGAAAGGTAATGATCATCATCAATGTTCGAGTTCTTAGTTTACGACCAACTTTATTTTCAGATTAATAATTATAGTACACCTCACCAATACGGTTTTATGCATGGCAGATCCACGACAACAAATCTTTTCTGGGTTACTCAGTTTATTCTGATTCCATTGATGACGGTTGTCAAACTGATGTTACTTATTTGGATATCTCAAAAGTGTTTGACAAGTTAGATTAATAAACTCAGTGATTTCGGTTTTTGTCCTAGGCTTATTAAACTTTTCACGTCATACTAAAATTCCACTTTACGCAGGTTCCTTAAATACCTTTTTTTTTAGAGAGGGTGGTGTATGTCCACCCACAGGATTCTCTCAGTCTAACCTTCTTCAGCGGTTGTTTGTTGACATGATGGTTTAACCTTTGGGCAGAATTGTTAGATAACTTTTTCATTTATCACACATTTGGTCAAGGACCATGAATATCAACAAAGAGATTACAAAGCGCCGATTAAAAATTTCGTAGTATAATAAAATTATTCATGCAGAAAATGGTTTCAAAAATTGTACTCTTATTAATGTTGCTGTTTAAAAATGTGTTCCTCAACCCTAGTGACACTGACGACGTAAGTACGCTTTTAAAATTCATTCATAATTTCTATACAGTCGACGAAAGTATAGCATAGCATACTGGAAAATGTCACCCCAAAAGACATCAACACATATTTTGTTAAATCAGCAGTTTTGGTTGGTATTTATCTTATTTTTTGACAGTTTTCGGTGGTTTTTACCAGCAAAAGTCAACCAAAATTTCAACCCACCGTAAACGATCCTTTCTTTGTACGAGCGGAATTGCTATTTGAAATAAACACTATACTTGGCGTATTAAAAGAATCCGTAAATAAAAGAAAGAAACGGAACAACACATTGTGGCTGAAACAAAAGAAAATGTTAAATTGGAAGTGATAGAAAACAATTTCAAAATTTATGATACGGAACTAAAAAATGAATTTGATAAAACTAAAAAGCTAATCCTCACTACAACCGAACACCAGCTAAGTCTAGCAAAGGATGAAATATTTAATGGAATAACTTTTGAGCTTATAAACACGCAGGCAAAAATTATTAATGAAGTTCGGCAATGTCGAACGGTACCAAGTGACTGTAGAGAAGTTCAGAGGAGAGGATACAAAAGTTCTGGTATTTATCGCATCCAGCCAATGATTTCCATGGAAAAATTTTTGGTTTGGTGTGACATGTCAACTAGAGGAGGTGGATGGACTTACGTTCTGAATAGATTCGACGGTTCGGAAAATTTTTATTTTAATTGGACTGATTATAAGCAAGGTTTTGGTAACCTTTCAGGAGAACACTGGTTGGGTTTGGATCATCTTTACGAATTGACGAGTGAGTTTTTTTTTATCGTTGACAGTACTGTACAATGTGATTTTGCTATGTATTTCAGACAGCAAACCTACCGAGTTGTTATTCCAACTAATGGATAGGGACTCGAAAACGGTTTATGCTTTATATAACAGGTTTCAAATTGGCAGCGAAGCCGAACACTATAAAATAAAAACTTTGGGATCGTACGATGGAAATGCTGGAGATTCTTTCCGGAGGCACGATGGTGCAAAATTTAGTACCGCCGATAATGACCATAGTTCCCAAAGCTGTGCCTCTAGTTTCGGTAAACTTTATTTAATTTTAATTTGGTTTCTAAAAAGGTTCTTGCAGAGAGTGGCTGGTGGTTCACAGATTGTCATCTGGTGCTTCTTACTGGGAAATATATAAAAAACCCAACGCTTCGGTATTATTCAGCAATAAAGTGGTATCACTTTCATGGCTATAACTATAGTCTCAAAGAAGCAAGAATGATGATCAGAACGATTTAAGTTAATTTGTCTAAACACAACAAATTCTTGGTTTTTGCAACTTGAATAAAAAATTGGTCTAAAGAGTTTAGACAGTACTTCCCTCGCTGTTGGAAACTTGACGACTGCATGCCTATTGTGTTTTTTTTTCTCATTACATTTTTGTAGTGGGAGTTTAAAAAAAAAATTGTGATGACGTCATCAACATTTTTGCAAGGACACGTATATCAGTTGGGATAGATGTAGTGTAATACTAAGAATAAAATTATTGTATTCCCAAATTTTCGGGAAAATGAATTGGGTCGTTTTGAATATTGATTTCTTATAATCAATAAAATAACGAAACAATTTACTCACGTAAACGGCGCCGGTGTGTAATATCTAGAGAGCGGATTTCTGTCGGGCTAGGCAAGGCCAAACTCGGTACGGCTCGCACGGGATGCGAATTCATTGCGGTTGCGGGCTGCACTTCGTTTATTTGAGATTAGAATAACGCTGTTTCGTTGCACTCTGCTGTTAATTCCCGTTCTCATTTACTTAGCCGTTTGATTAATAAATCGTTAATTATATTTATGGAATTATTACTGATTAAATTCAGTGATTATCTATCACCCGCTACTGAGTCCCGGCGATCCAGCGCGTCCCCTCATATAATCGTGACGTAGCCCGACAAAAATCCGCTGTCTAGTAATATGAAAGGCAACTGAAAATCGTTTATGTATAAACATTCTTAATTTAAAACAGAGAAACTGTAAACAAAACGACCATCGGTTTTATTGCTTCGACTTCCGCTTATTATATAAAACATTAGGTTTTATTTTAATTCTTGACGGTGAAATTCACAATTGGTTTATTATAAACATGTCTATTTCACATTCGCGGAACCAAGTGAGCGCATAAAACAAATGCAGGTCTGTAATGTTAAAGTCGATGTAAATAAGCGTGCTACCCTTATGTTTCAACCGAGTTTTTCCTTTAACAAATTTTGTGTCTACCAAATTGGGTTGGTTGGGGTGTAATACTAATAATAAGTGTTGCCTTTAATTTAATCAATAAAATAAATTGACTTCATTAATTTTTTTGAACCACCTCTTAAGAAAATCTAAAAAATATGAATGGAATGATAAATCACAAGTACAAACTCATCATATTTTTTGCATTTTAGATAGGATTTATTCGGCAAACTTTTGAGCTGACGTCATCAGTTTTTTGTAGAAGATAACCAAATATATTTTGACTAAAAATTTATTATGCTCTTTATAACCTTAAAACATCTGCAAGATTTCAAAGCATTCGGTTTTGTAGTTCCTGATTAAATCAATAAAATAAATTTACGCATTCATTAATTTTTTTGAGTCACCCTGTATATGCAAATCGAAAAAATTTGAATGGAATGATAAATCACAAGAAGAGACTCACCATATTTTGTACATTTTAGATAGGATTTATTCAGCAAAATTTTGTGGTGACTTCATAAATTTTTTAGGGGGGACGACCAAATACATTTTGATCAAAAATTTACCATGCTTATGATAATTTTAAAATTCTTCAAGATTTCGAAGCATTCGGTTTTGTAGTTCCTGAGTAAATCAGTAAAATAAATTTACGCTTTCATTTATTTTCTTGAATCACCCTGTATATGCAAATCCAAAAAATATGAATGGAGTGATAAATGACAAGTACAGACTCATCATATTTTGTACATTTTAGATATGATTTATTCGGCAAACTTTCGAGCTGACGTCATCAAGTTTTTGGAGGGGATAAGCAAATATACTTTGACTAAACATTTATTATGCTCTTTATGACCTTAAAACATCTGCAAGATTTCAGAGCATTCGGTTTTGTAGTTCCTGATTAAATCAATAAAATATATTTACGCATTCATTAATTTTTGAGTCATCCTGTATATGCAAATAGAAAAAATATGAATGGCATGATAATTCACAAGTATTGTCTTATCATATTTTGTACATTTAAGATAGGATTTATTCAGCAAAATTTTGAGGTGACGTCATCAATTTTTTGGAGGGAACAAGTAAATATATTTTGAATAAAAACTTATCACATAATCAGACGTCTAATGTAATGGAAAATTAATAAACTACAAGTACAGAAACATGTTCTTTCATCAATTTTAAGTAAGATTTATTTTGTAAAATTTTAAAGTGTCGTCATTAGTTGTTGGTAAAGTTGATGAGAAAAAGTTTGGCTGGCGTTTTACCATCTGCATCTAAAACACACTTAAAATTTTACAACAGAATTTTGTAGAATCTATTGGTAAATATGAAATGAATGTCAAACGAAGACTAATTAAAAAAAATCTATACTCTGTTCAGTATACGAAGTACCATAGGTATAATACAAAAGTTTTCTTATAAAAGAGACTGATTAGAGCCAATCATTATTGGAAAGAAATATAAGATAAGTTTACCTATATATTAATCATAACCTCCCATTATGACAGATAAATATTTTGGATCATCTGGTACTTCTAAAAGGTTAAAACGATGAATCATCATTTCAAGAATTGTTTCCAAAAAAAGAGCTTAACGTCTAATGATTTCCGCTTTTTTGACTTTCTAAGTAAATTAAAAAGACGAAACCTAAATTTTTTGCAATTGTCAGGACAACTATGCCAGTTAAATTCCTATAATGATGTGGGTACCTACTGTTGTTTGTTTGCATAATAGTTTAACCTTTGTGCAGAATTGTTAGATAACTTTTTCATTTATCACACATTTGGTCAAGGACCACGAATATCAACTAAGAGATTACAAAGTGCCGATTAAAAATTTCGTATTATAATAAAAGTTTTCATGCAGAAAATGGTTTCAAAAATTGTACTCTTATTAATGTTGCTGTTCAGAAATGTGTTCCTCAACTCTAGTGACACTGACGACGTAAGTACGCTTTTAAAATTCATGTCACCCCAAAAGACATCAACACATATTTTGTTAAATCACCAGTTTTGATTAGCAACTATCTTATTTTTTGGCAGTTTTCGGTGCTTTCTACTAGCAAATATCAAGCAAAACTTCAACCCACCATAAACGATCCTTCCTTTGTACGAGCGGAATTGCTATTAGAAATACACACTACACTTGACGCATTAAAAGAATCCGTAAATAACCTGCAAAACATAAAGCGGGAAATTATCCAAGTAGTCGAAAACGTGGTAGAAGAGAAAATCAGTATTTACGACTCAGGCCTAAAAACGCAATTATCGCAAGCAAAAACCGAAATTGTGTTAGAAACGAAAGAAAATGTTATACGACAATTAACAGAGGCGAAGAATGAAATGACGATTCAGATGAACGCCGCAAAAGAATCGGGATTTTCGCTTTATTCTATCATCGAAAAGAAATTCATCGAAACAAAGGATGAA